AAACTATGGACTCTCTCTTTTCTAGCATTTTAGATACGGTTGCTCCTTTACGCTTAAAGGAGACATATTATGCCCTTTTTTACAATATGTAATATAAGTCTCTGGTGTCTGCAGAATGTGTCTGTGAAGTTTCAGCTCAAAATACTCCACAGATCATTTATTATATCATTTTGAAAATGCCTATTTTGAGTGGAAGCAGAAACGCGCTGTTTTTCTGGCCTGTTTCTTTAAATGCAAATGAGCTTCTGCTCCCCGCCCCCTTTTCCAGAATAGAGCTGCCATTACAGCTCGGACCTGCTAAAGACATCTGTTTTGGTTCTGATTATCATGTTTATCGCTCTGAAATCATGCGTTTTAAACCATATGAGTTTAAACTTCTGATATACGGTTTTCTGAGAGCACACATCCGAAGCACACGTACAGAAAGTGGCCACCAGACAGCATGTGAGTACTAAATTAAGTTCTCATTCACACACAAGTTTACGTTAAAAACACACATGAGTTACACAAACAGTCGGTTATGTCTGTGAAGGTAAACAGCTGGGAAATAAATTGCATGTTTATTTTAGATCTGTGGCAACAGCAATATACAGTAAATAAATCAATAAATCCACTGCTGTCTTGTCTCCTCTGAGGCTGGGACTCTAAATAGTGTTCTGTGCTCGTCTGTGCAGCCAATGACAGAACAGTTACCATGTTTTGCTCAATCTTTCGCCATGGCATTAGAACTAATACACCGCTTGCGCTTGCGAAAACACAATAACGGCGCCGTGGGTGTAAACTTACAGATTAAGGGGCGGTAATATTATAATGAGATCCTTTTGCCACGTCACCAAGGGAGCGAAATCAGACGTGCTCGTTTTCTCAAACGCTTGCAGAAAAAAGCTTACCAAAACAAAGTTACTGGGTTAATCTTTTTCACGTTTCCTTGATTGGTAGATGCACTGGGGACCTGATTATAGCACTTAAAACCTGGAAAAGTCAGATTTTCATGATATGTCACCTTTAAGATATTTAAAGCATCAGAATATGAGATGTTATATCATTTAACAGTTCAAATCACAATTGTGGAATTTGTCAATATAAGTGCTGTATGCTGTAGTCATGCAGTTAGATTTGATTCGTTTTGTTATAGAACAGGCATTATTGAGACCGGTATAAAGGCATGGACATGCTAAATTAGCAGGGTGGTGCTTGAGTTATGTTACAGATATGATCTCATCCGTGTCTAAACTAGAGGTGGTCCCTGTCTCACATGCCAGCCCCCTCTGTGGCTTCATTAGCACAGTGTCTCCCCAGCTGATACCCGTCTGGGTCTCTCTCTCTTTCTCTTTTTTTTGTCACTCAGTCTAATTCTTTCTTCTTTCTCTCAGCGTTCTTCTAAAAGAACACTGTGATCTGACTTTGACAAGTGGAAAACATGACTGATGAGCTTTTAAAACATGTTTGCCATTCCGCTCTTGAGAAGAAGTGAGGCCTTTGATCCAGAGAACAGAATTAGTATGAAAGGAAGTTATTTTCAGACAAAAGCACAGTCTTTTACGTCACTGAGACTTTGGCTAGAGAAAGTCTGGCACTGGAAAGCTGTAATTGTAGACTGTATTAAAGCAAAAGTTTTAAGAAAATCAAAATTGGTTAGGTAAACATCTCAGTTTTTTTCTTTCCTTTTGGGTCTGCTGTTATTTTCCAAACTTTGGAAACTTTCTGGGCATTCACCAGGATGAAAAACAGAAACACAAATAATTGTTCAGCAAATTATTGTTCCATTTAAGACAGAGGTACTACAGGCAGCAGCAGCATGTTGCATAAAGACTCTTAGGCAGTAGTTGCAGAAGTAAGTTGGTGTCGAATGGTCACATTTTTATCTCGCTTTTTTGAGACTAGTAATGTGGAGCCACTTTCTAGGTATATAAACTCCCACTTCCTGTGTCTTCTATTTTGTTTTGTTTTGTTTTGTCCAGGATGCTCAAGTAACAAGGTGAAAGGAAAAAGCCTCTGCCTTATGTGTGGTTAAATTATCATGCAGCCTTTTTTTTCTTGCTTTCTCTCTGTGGGGAGAGAATGTGACTAATAGCGAGAGCAAGCAGAGGAGGGTGTGTGAGGAGAAAATGAAAAAGGGAATGAAAGTGAGAGAGACAGACTTGTAGACAGCAGCCTTGTTCTCTTGGCTGCATTTCAGGTCTGATAAAATGGCGTCCCTGAGAAATGTTTGCTACAGGAGAATAAGTCGCTGGATTGTCTGAGCTCCATCAAAAAAACAAAAAAAAAACATTTGGTTTCTTTCTTGTCAGATTCACTATTTTTGACATGTTGTTCAACAAACATATCAGCGTTTGGAGAAAGGCTTATTCAGCCTTTCTGTTAGTATGAAAACACTACACCTCAGATGTCAGATTATTCAAATGTAGCAGTTGTGCCAGTGGTGCCAAGTCAGTCTAATGACATTTCAGCTCAATTGTTACTTTGTTGATAATGCAAAATTAAGCAGTGGTTGCATGGTTGATGTTGAAATGCACTATAGCCTGTGTGATAAGGCTGTGCGAAATAAGGGGATAAATGTATAGATGGAAGAACTGCTTTATGAGGCACTGGCAGTATTGTGGCTAGGCGATATCATAAACCCCACATCTATTTGATCTGACACAGAAAATTATTTTTAAAGTCTTAGTCTCATTCTAGTAAAATAGCAAATTCATTTACAAAGAATACACTGGTTGCTTAAGAAGGCACTCAACAAGGAAATGGATAAAAAGCGTACAACATGTTATTAACTCAACATTAGGTTAGTCATGAGCACAATATTTGATTTATGCAGTGAATCATATAGCCTAGCTGCCATATGCCCTAAGGGGGTGGATAATACATGTGCATACTGTTTCTAAGGAACACTCTCAGTGGTTGTGGAGAGTGCACTTGCTTTTGCATTGTAGATCAATGCCCTCTTTCTGCTCTCTACCATAATTTACACACCATCGATTACCTGCTGGCTCATGATTGACTATAGCTGGAAAGAAGTAAAGCTGTGTGTGTGAGAGAGAAACATGTACATATTGGTTTAGTATTCATCCTCTTGAGTATCCGTGGAACATGTTGGTGAAGCTTAATTTTTGTGGGGACTTGGCAGACCACAAGGAATGATGAATGACGAGCTTGTCTTGGTTTCATTCCAGTAAATGAACACTGTTCCACCTCAGCTTCCCTTTTAGTGATGGAGATGCTAAAATTAAAATAAAAAATAATATCCCTTGGTATTATTTTAAAGGGGTCCTATTATGCTCTTTTTCAATGTCTTGAATTTGTTTTGGGGGTGTACTAGAACATGCTCTCATGCTTGGTGGTTCGAAAAACGCATTATTTTTTTTACATAATTTACATTATTACAATACCTTTCTCCCCAGTCTGGCACAAACGGCTCGATTAGTTCCGGGTTTGATGAAGGCCGCCTTCCGAAAAAACGAAATGTGATGTGATTGGTTAGCTATTCCAGTGCGTTGTGATTGGCGAACAGCTTAGACGGTGTTTCAGTCATAATAGGACCCCTTTAAGATAAATAGTGTCATGTATATTTTTATCTCTTTTTGCTATAATAACATTTTTAATTTTACAGGTGTTCCCCATCAAAGTGGACTGGGAGCCCAGCATGAGAATTGTCTTTGGAGCATCCCAGTCAGCAAAAGCAACAGCAGCAACCTGGATAAAGTGATTTTTAACTGTAACGACACCGACACTTGGCCTTCCAATACATACGGCAAGAGCCACCAGACACCAGAATGCACCTTGAACGCTGAACGCACATCAGAGGTCGTCAGCAACAGTAGCAGCACTATTATGGCTACAGGAGCTAGCCAGCAGGGTCATTACCCAATCAGCAAAGCCAGCATTAATCTCTCTTCTAGTATGGTCTCTAGTCAAAGTGGCCCTACCAGGGGCTGGGTCTCAGAGGGAAAGATTGACTTGTCCATGGGCAGTAGAGGGCAGTCCAACTGGGGTGCCTCTAATCTGAACCTAAATCCCAGTGCCAACCCTGCTGCTTGGCCAGCACTTGGACATGAGGGTCCTGGGGTAGGGTCAGGCCCTAGTAGCATGGTTTGCTCAAATCCACTTTCACTCAGTATGTGTGGCCAAGGAGGAGTGGCACCACCTCATGGCACCAATGGAAATGGCAGCATTGGTTGTGTCAATGGAAACCTTGTAGGGGACTGTGCATGGGGCAACCCGGATGTCCCAGAACAGCATCAGTCACCCACAAATGTATCTTTCAACATGAAACCTCCTAACCTTAAAACTGATGGACCAAATAACAGTAAACCAGAGCCAATGAGTCCAGTGAACAGCTGGAGAGGAAACCTCAGTCAGTCACCTACTGAGCCTGCCAGCGAAGATGGAACTGCCTTCTGGGGCAACGGCGATGCCAAAAATGGAGAATCAAAGGACTCAGGCTGGGATTCTGCAGGCGTCTCCTCTTGGGGGCAGGGAGGAGCTAGCAGTGGTGGTGGCTGGGGTGACTGGGGCAAACAACCAAGCACTGACGGTACAGGATGGGATGTAAATGATGGTCCTTCCCAGGACCATATGAGTTCCTGGGGCCCTGATACTCCAGCAAGTGAGGGCAGCAGGGACAGTAGTGAGGGCCACCCAAGAAGAAGAGAAAGGTCCTCAAGTGATGATTTGGCCCCTTTACTCCCAAGGCAGGACTTGGACCCACGTGTCCTCTGCAACACAGGCTGGGGACAGACTCCAGTTCGCCAACACACTGTTTGGGAAATGGAAGAAAGTCCAGACAAAAAGAATGGTGCAGGGACTGAGGTCTGGGGGTCTTCCTCCAACACACCTTCAGCTGGACCTGCACCACCTCCTCCTGGATGTGCCAGTCCCAACCTCAGTGTACCTCCTAGAATGGAGACAAGCAAGAGCGAGGGATCTTGCAGGGCCATACCAAATGCAGGCTGGGGAGGATCAGTCTCAGCCTCTTCTCAGCCTAACAGTGGATGGGGGGAACCTCCTGCAAATAAAAAAGTTCCCAATGGATCCCAGTGTGGCTGGGGTGATCCTGTTGCTCAAGGTCCCAATACCAGTGGCTGTAATGGCCAATCCTGGGCTGAGGAAAAGTCCCCTAGCTGGGATGATGGTACTTCTCAGAAGAAAACACAAGGTTGGGGTAATGGAACCAAAACTTCCTCAGGCTGGGGAAGTAGTGGCAGTGGGAATAGTGGAGAGTGGAGTGACCCTTCAGAAATGCGAAAGAATGACTCTGGAAGTTCCTCTTGGGACACTGACAACAGAAACTGGAAAGAAACGCAGAGAGGGTGGGGTAAAGCAGCACCAGCACAGGGTGGTAGTTGGGGTGATGCTCAACATTCCAATGGTTCAGCCCAAGGTTGGGGTGGAAAACTTCAGGAATCCACATGTGACAACGGTGGAGCTGGAGGCATAGGATCATGGAGCGGCCCAAATTCTGTGAAACAGAGCAACTCTGGCTGGGCATCAGGAGGGCGACAGGAGCCGGGAGATGAGGCCACAGGCTGGGAAGAACCCTCTCCTTATTCTGTTCGTCGCAAAATGGAAATTGATGATGGGACCTCCACCTGGGGTGACCCCAGTGCTTACAGCAAGAGTGTAAACATGTGGGACAGGAATAACTCCCAAAATCATCCAGGAACCAGCAACAGTAATAGCCTCACTGGGCCAAACAACAATAGCAAGCCTCACCAACACCACAGCCAAGGTCCCACTCAGAACCATGTCAGTGGTAGCAACAACAATGGATCACCCAATCAAGGTGAATCTCCTCTCAACAGAATGCCCGTGTTGAACCCAGGTAAGAGAATGCATATATTTTTCTCTGAATTTTAGCTAATTTTATTCCTCTATACATCTAGCAAACATTAGTAAAATATGCTGAGATTGTTGAAGTCAAGGTTAGTGCCATCTCTGTTGTCCATTGTAATAAAAAAAAATAAAAAAAACATCCACTAGTTTAGATGCTTAAGTGTGCGTTCTGCTGCCCCTCCCCTGCCAGCTGGTTCAGGTTTGAGCCAGGAATTAAATGCCTATGACTGCTGCGTTCTAGGCCTAGACGCCCCGTTATCATACTCAGGATTTTTTTTGTCCAACTCTGGCAACAATGTGGGATAAATTTTTTTAAATATTGAAATTTAAAGTCTGATTTGTCCATATTCCTGAGAGCTTGACCCATAATATCTTTATTTCTGTTACAGTGTATCATTAGTGTCTGTTTGTGCTAAGTTTTCAGTTAGTAATAATTTGATGACTTAATTTGATGCAGTGCTCTGTTAAGCTTCTTTTGTATTATACAAAACAAGTAGGACAATTATTTTGATAATTGATACTATTTTGATACTTTATTGATTATTTGGACATAAAAACCCCATTTTATTTTCTGTATTTTAATTACCAGGCTGGGGAGAGCTCACTAATGTACAGCCAAACTCAGAACCCTCTTCATGGGGCGAGCCAGCCAATTCTAACTCTTCAGTGGGCAATGGAACTTCAGCTTGGGTCCAGCCCTCTAGGGGCTGTGGGGGATGGGGTGAAGGTGGCCATGACTCCAGTGGACCTTATGGCAGAGGAAATGCACCTGCTGGATCAGGCTCCTGTCAGGAAGGTAAGTTTGGAAACTAAGACATTGTTGATACTTAAATGTGCTGTATTCAAATATGTAATTTATATTTCTTTTTGTTGCCATTTGATGATAAAGTTAAACTATACTGTCCTCTGGTGGTTGAATAAATCAAGTACTGATTGCATTACTTCACTGTAAATGTGAAGTTTGTGTTTTTTTCTGCTAAATACTTTATGCTATACCATATTACACGCTGAGACAACTTTATATTATAAAATATAAATTCTGTGGCTCTCTGGCATTTAAAAAAAATAGCTGTTTGCTTGAACATCTCAACCAGCCTGACAAGCAAACACTGACAAAACCAGTGGTGTGGGTTTGGGCCAGGGCTATCTGTTTTTCCAACCAGTGACAGAACGGGGCAGTATTTGAGAAGCTTGTTTGAAAACTGTCATTATGTTTGCAGATTCGTTTGGTGACCCTGGTGCCACAGAAATTAGCTTGTACATGTTGTTTGAACATAAATGTGTGTTGGCAGTGTGTGAACACAACCACCCTAAAATCATAAAAATCCACCCGCTCCTTTTTTTTAATCCCTATAAATCAAAATAAAGGTAACAAAATAAAAAAATTGCTGATATTTAGGCCAAGGTGGGCGAAGATAAAAATCTTTATTGTCATTATTTTATCTTTGTTTGTAAAAAATAAGAACAAAGATACACATTACAACTACACATAATATACAAATAAAACAAACAGGGCTTTATTTTCAGGTACAATAGGTGTATTTAGCAGGAGCATGTGTTTTATATTTATACCATCATTTACTCAAAAGTTTTTTTAAACCTGAATGAGTTTCTTTCTTCTGCTGAACATAAATGCTATTTTAAAGAACATGGAAAACCAAACAGCTGCTGGTCCACAGTGACTTCCGTAGTATTGTTTTTTTCCTACTATCAAATTTAAGGTGGACCAGCAACTGTTTGGTTACCCACATTCTTCAAAATATCTTATTTTGAGTTCAGCAAATGAAAGAAATTAATGCAAGTTTGGGACAACATGTGAGTAAATAATGACAGAAATTAAATTTTAGGGTGAACTATCCCTTTAATTACCGCCGGCTGCATGTTTAATACTGTCCCTTTAAGACCTGCACATCTAATATACAGGCACGTATCCATTTCTCTCTTAACTGTTTACTTTCATTTTAGACATAACCAACTGAGTCTATATGTAAACCTTGTGTGCTTTGACAGTATTAGCGCAAAAGATAACTTAGTTCAGTAATCATGCACTGTTTGACAGGCTTTTTAGTGTGCGCGCGCTTCGGGTATACATGCTCAGAAAAAGCGCACGTCAGACCAGAGTGCGAATGAAACATTTAACCGGCAAGGCTTTAAAGCACATGCAAATAATGTACTTTTGCGATTGCGAGTAAGTGCAGTGTCCTGTGAAATTACCTCTACCGCCGAGTTAACACTGAAGTGAATGTGATGTCGCGTTGTACAGTATCTTGAGACGGAGGCACCAGAACTGTAACTGATAGAATGTGCTTTGTAGCACGATACTATGATATTTCTTCAAAAGCAGATCGTGAAGAAATTTTTATCGTCCACGATCAAAAATCGTCATATCGCACACCCCTAATAAATAGGCATTTTCAAAATTATATAATAAATGATCTGTGGGGTATTTTGAGCTGAAACTTCACAGACACATTCTAGGGACACCTGAGACTTATATTACATCTTGAAAAAAGGGACATAATAGGTACCCTTTAAAGGGATAGTTCACCTAAAAATTAAAATTCTGTCAATAATTACTCACCCTCATGTCGATCCAAACATCTTCAGAACATAAATTAAGATATTTTTAATGAAATCCAAGAGCTCTCTGACACTCCCATAGACAGCAAGGGTCCTACCACGATCAAGGCACAGAAATGTAGTAAGGATGTGGTTAAAATGGTCCATGTGACATCAGTGGTTCAACCGTATTTTTAAAAAAGCTACGAGAATACTTTTTGTGTGCAAAAAAAAAAAAGACTTTATTCTGTTTCTTCTGTTTTGGGGACAGTCCTCCCATGCAATTATCGATGCATGCGCATTGCTGTCCAATGCTTGTGAACAAGGTGAAGTGCATGCGTGTGCTACGTCAGCAGCACCACACGCATACGTCGATAATGGCGGAGGACTGTCCAGGAAGAGAAGAAATCGTTGAATATAGTAGTTTTTTTTCTTTGCACACAAAAATTTTTCACGTATTTTTGTAAAATTACGGTTGAAACGGTTGACTGGTGTCACTACAGTGACCTGGGTCGCCAGTAGCAAACAATGGAGCGCTCTCTGCTGGACAAACTAAGTAATTACACCATTTACAAGCATTTTATCTGCGTTATATGTTCTGTAAAAAATGTTCATATCGGTGGCATATCTGTGGGATATATACTCCAATGCAGATATATCTGCGACAGGCTCATATCGGCCGATAAAATCGGCAAAACAATAAATCGGTCAGGCTCTAATAAAATGTATATGCTGGTTACAGCCTTGATTATGAGCAGTCTTGTCCATTGGTGCTTTGCCAGGTCCCAAATCTATGCAAGATGGCTGGGGATCAGGAGGGGAAGAGATTGGCATGAACACTGGCCACTGGGATGCTGATGATGGTGACATGTGGAACAGTCCTACATCCCAAGATTCCTCTTGTAACTCCTGGGGTCAATCCAAGAAGGGCACACAAAGGGTAAACCATTTAAAGCCATGAGTGCTCTGTTGTGTAATGTCATGTCACATGCTTACTGTGTGGTTAAGAAACTGTTTATGTAAACTATTTATATATATCATATGTAATATTGCTATTGTTTGTTCTTTACACGGCAAGGTCTCCAACAAGCAGGATGATGTTTGGATTATGACCAGACTTATCAAGCAGCTTACAGATATGGGTTTTCCAGTATGCTGAAGCCATAAACATTTACTCTGAAAAGACTTGTTGCTTAAGTCATTAACAAGATATGTAAAATAAATCTTTTTTTAGCATAACAATTATTTTTCTTTTACCTGATACAGAAGGATCCTGCAGAAGAAGCCCTAAAGAGCAACAATATGAATCTGGATCAGGCCATGAGTACGTAGTAAACTTTGAAGTTAACCCATAACAGCAGACAGACATGCCGTGAGTCATATGGTCTTGGTCTAGAACACTGATTATGTACTTGCCTTTTCCTCAGGCGCTTTGTTGGAGAAGAAAACTGAACTGGACAAACGGGGGATGGGCATGTCAGACTACAGTAATGGGATGAATAAGCCCATAGTGTGCCGACCCACAAACCTCTCCAAAGACCCCTCACTGGATCGTGCCCCCTTCCTAGACAAGGTATAGTTTTTTGTTTGTTTTGCTGTTGTTGTTTTTGTTTTTTTTTAAGTCCCAAGAAATTTTCTGGACTGGAGTAGAGAGAAATTTGATCTAGGTAAATTTTACGACTAGTTTTTGCAACATATTTTCTGGTCTCTCAGGACGGTAGGCTGTCAGATGATGCTTCAACCTCACCGTTTATGCCTTCTCCTGGCCTCAAGCTCCCACTGGCCAATAGCAGCCTCCCTAGCCACGGATTGAGTGGGGTCTCCTCTGGCCTGTCCATGCAAAACTTGAACAACAGACAGGTGAGTGTTGTGAAATCTGTGCAAAGGACATAGGCATAGCAGACAAGAGTTTTAAATTTAGATGCAGCTATGAAGCTGCATTGTCTGGTATAATGCCTTACTCCTTATTTTGTATTTTGTTTTTGTTTTTTAAGTGTTGCAGGCTCCAGACAAAAAAATCGAGTAAGGAGCCATTGGCTCCTATAAGAAAAAAACTTAGGCGCCAAATTATTTTTTTAGGTGCCACAGAATAAACGTGTTTTATTATTTTTTATTTTTTATTTTTTACATTTTAACATTTCAATCATACTGTCATGTGTTTATGTCTCATCTTTTCTTAAATTTTACAATAATTTTAATCCATCTTGTATATGACCTGGGAACTAAGGTTCACTTAAAGTGAGAACTAAATGTCTTTTCCAACTTGAAATATACAGTCACAAAAAATTGTTCATTACACAGAATCTGTACCAATATAGTGGACCATAAGCATCACTTGGCCACTGAGTGTAGTTTGGGCTCCTCCTCAATGCATCCTGTAAATGTTGTCATACACTCTTAAAAATAAAGTTGCTTCACGATGCCACAGAAGAACCTTTTTTGTCTAAATGGTTTTACATTTCACAAAAGGTTCTTTGTGGCGAAAGAAGGTTCTTCAGATTATAAAAAGTTGAGAAAGAGATGGTTCTTTAAAGAACCTTTGACTGAATAATTCTTTGTGGAAGCAAAAATGGTTCTGTGAAGAACCATTTAAGCACCTTTATTTTTAAGAGTGTATATCTTTCACACTTTCAGTCTGTTTTTCTTAATTAGTAATTTTATAGGAGGAGTTGAATCATGTAGACAACAGGTTAAGTAAAAATATTAATATGAAATAGCGCATAAATATAGAAAAAGCTCTTATTTATAGTTATTTTTCTAGCTGTCTGCCGCACTAAAGAGCGTCAAAACTGCATTTATTGTTTGAATTTCGTTATGAATTTGAAAAAATTTTAAAGCTGGTACTTTGTTTATTAAAAAGTATCGAAACAGAATTAACATTAACATTGCATTAACAGAGCACAGCATAGACTAAGATCTTGATAAGAAGAAGCCATATTATTAATGATTATAAACGAGAATTGTTAACGATATTGCCAATATCCACACAGCTGACAGCTTTACCTGTTGTAGTTTGTTCAAGTTGTGCACGAAATAGACCGCGGCTTTTCTGCACTTTCACTTCGCACGTCTCCGTCATTTCGATCTCTCTCGCGCTGTTCAACTGAGCTGCGTTTAGCAGGTGTGTGACAATGCTGCTGTGTGGCAGAGATGAGGACTGTTTGAAACTCTTTTTTCCACTAAAACTTAAATGCGCATCGTCTCAATTTAATACGTGAACATAACAAAAGATGTGATCGCAAAACAATCAGGAAAAAAGGCATTACATGCAAATTTTTAAGTTATAACATGTAAATATATATGGGCCTAGTCGGCAGTGGCGACCTCAGCAAAAACTTCACTCGCAAATTAATATTTTTGGTCACAAATGCGACTGTTTTAGTCGTAGTCTGGAGCCCTGTGTTGTTAAAAAGCCACTATAAGGCTGGAGTGGTGAAATTAAGTTATTTGAAATTGACATTGTGTAATATTTATTTGACATTGTGTTCAGAATTTGACGTTGTGTTCAGGTCAATGTTAAAAGCACATTAATTTTTTTAAGAGGCTGCATCGTAAGACAGATTTAAATTTGTGCTGAAATTGATCTGATTTTTTTCTTGTTAAGTGCATCCAGCCATTTAGAGTATATAAAAGCATTTCATTTGTATTGATCCCCACCCCCACTCTTTTGTTTTATAGATGCAGAATGGAATGTTCGGCACTAACGGAGCAGCACAAACTCGGGTCATGCAGCAGCAGGCCCCGCCCCCTCAGCCACCAGTGCCACCTCTTAGCTCCGCCCAGCCTACTCTACGTGCTCAAGTGCCTCAGCTTCTCACCCCTCAGGTACAAATTGCATCTATTATTTCAAATTCCATAGTGCCTGCATCTGCACAAAATCCAAGGGCATTTTTTACATTTCTAAGGGCAAATTTTTCTAACCTAATTAAATGTTTGTAGCTTCTCAAATTCTTAAATTCAATCAATCATCTAGTCAGAATATGGAGACAGATCAGCCTCAAAAATAACACATTTACAAAACAAAATTCATAAATTCACAGCACAATTTACATTTACAAAATCCGATTCGTAAATTCAAAACACAATTCATAAATACACAAGTAAAAGCATAAATATTTCCCCAAATGCTCACACAAATGCATCTTACCTAAATAAATGTAAAATGTTTACACAAATATGTATATATAAATTTCTCATAGTGCTTTATACAGTACCGTTTGTGTCAAAGCAGCTTCAGAGAGATAAACAAGAAAACAGCAGAATTAATTATGGAAGCTAAGCTATGGAGACAGTTCAGATTTAAAGCAGCTCTAAAAGACAACACACAACAGTGTCATTATTTAGCTAAAGTCAGTTCAGATAACATAACAGTGTGAATTTAATCAGCTATAAGCAATGTTGTTATTCAACTCAAGTCAGTTCAGTGCTGATTCAGTTCAGTTCAACAACAGTGTTGATGTAAAGCAGCTCTACAGAAAACAATAGTCCCATCATCCAGCTTAATTCAGTTCAAGTATTGTTTTCATCTGATTGTGTCAGTCAGTGCGGTCATGTTGATAAATTACTGAAAGTTAAGTGTCTTTCAGACCCCAAATAAAGCAAGCCAGAAGGCAACAGTGGCAAAGAACCCAAACTCAATCACCAGAAGAATAATAAGACACTACAGGGCTGTTACTTAAAGAGATATTTCACCCAAAAATGAAAATTCTGTCATTATTTACTCACCTTCAACTTGTAAATAAAAGAAAATATTTCGAAGTATATGGGTAACCAAACAGTTAATGGTCCCCATCAACTTCAATGTTATGGAAAAAATACTTCAACCGTTCTTCTGTGGCATAGTTTGCGATTATTGGTCACACTTTATTTTAAGGTCCAATTCTTGCTATAAACCATTAACTACGACTTTTGCCTCAATAAACTACTAATTTGCTGCTTATTAATTAGGGATGCACCGATACCACTTTTTCCAGTACTCGGCCGATACCGATACTTTTATTTTTGGTACTTGCCGATACCGAGTACCGATACCAATATTTTTATTGCATTTGTACATTTTTTAAATATTGGGTACAGAAACCAAAAGAGTATGTGTAATGTTAGTTGGTTAACTTCATTTATCAAATAGATACAGCCAAGCCAAAATTTATTCTGACACCTTCAACATTTCTCACATTATCACAGTTTATTCGCTATAGTTTAGAAAATGGTAATAAAATATGACAAGAACTCAGAGTTAAACTGTGTCAGAACAAATTCAGCTTGATAATGTTAGATAACTTTGATAGAAAGGTATGTAATAGATTACAATCAACCAAAAATTAGACAGCTGTTAGTATGACAGTATTTACACAACTATCAATACTTAGTCGGGCAACCTTTAGCCTTAATGACAGCCTGTAGTCTCCTGGGCATGCTGTCATCCAGCTTCATGCAAACCTCAACTTCATTTTATTTCCCCAGACTCGGTCTGAATAATTTTTGGTCCCAAATGTGTATCAATTTTACTGGTACTCCACTGTATGAAGAATTTTTTGGTATGATTTGTCACAATTTACTTTATTTTGCTATCCTCACTTGCATAAATGAACTATAGTGTCCTGCACCCACTAGTAAAAAAATATCAAAAATTATATCTGGTCTCTGAATAATTTTTGGTCCCAAATGTGTATCAATTTTACTGGTACTCCACTGTATGAAGAATTTTTTGGTATGATTTGTCACAATTTACTTTATTTTGCTATCCTCACTTGCATAAATGAACTATAGTGTCCTGCACCCACTAGTAAAAAAATATCAAAAATTATATCTGGTCTCTGAATAATTTTTGGTCCCAAATGTGTATCAATTTTACTGGTACTCCACTGTATGAAGAATTTTTTGGTATGATTTGTCACAATTTACTTTATTTTGCTATCCTCACTTGCATAAATGAACTATAGTGTCCTGCACCCACTAGTAAAAAAATATCAAAAATTATATCTGGTCTCTGAATAATTTTTGGTCCCAAATGTGTATCAATTTTACTGGTACTCCACTGTATGAAGAATTTTTTTGTATGATTTGTCACAATTTACTTTATTTTGCTATCCTCACTTGCATAAATGAACTATAGTGCTGAATGTTTAACGTTATATTCATTGCATACATATACTTCGTAGTAGACATCCTTAACTCCATTCTGCTGTCTGTTGTTCTGTTGTCGGTGTATCTTTGTCTGAATATGGCACTGATCACATGCTGTGGTATCGGCGTTTGGTATCGGGGCATTTTAACAAGTACGAGTACAGGAGCTCAGTATCGGGACGATACCGATACCAGTATCGGTATCGGTGCATCCCTATTATTAATAGTTAGTAGGGTAGTTGTTAAGTTTACGTATTGGGTAGGATTAGGGATATAGAATATAGTCATGCACAATATGTGCATTTTAAGTTCTAATAAACAGCCAATATGTTATTAATAGGCATGCTAATAAGCAACTAGTTAATAGTGAGAGTTGGTCCCTATACTAAAGTGTTACTGAATTATTTTCATTGTACAATATATATGGTACTGAATCTAAATGTCACTTAAAGGGGTAGTTTGCTCAAAAATGAAAATCTGTTCATTTTCATCAGGAAGTCAGATTTCCTTGCTTCCACTAAAACACACAAGATTCTCTTTGGAACATTTTCAAATCATGGTGGATAACATGGATCATCAGGCTTTGCACAAACCGGTTGGTTTTTGGTTTTGTTTTTTTTCCTGTAGGTTCAAGCACAGCTATTACAGTTTGCGGCAAAAAACATTGGACTGAATCCTGCACTTTTAACCTCACCAATAAATCCTCAACAAATGACCCTGCTGTACCAACTACAACAACTGCAGGCGGTGAGTCACACAGTTCACTCTCCTGCTCTCCTGTTTCCACATGAATACCAATGATTGTTGTCTACCCACTGGCCTGTCTGCAGGGAGTGAGATGCTAGCGCTTTCTGTCTTGATAATGACCCCATCACCTTTATATCTCTATTTCTACTTCTTTCCATTTCTCTGTAATTTCCTCTCTTTCTCAAATTGTGTCTTTTTCTCTTTTTGTCAGGCGTATCAGCGTTTGCAGATTCAGCAGCAAATGATGCAGGCTCAGCGTAATGTCTCTGGTCCCATCAAACAACAAGAGCAGCAAGTATGACAGACTAATTTTACTGGCCCTGACATTTATAAACTTACAGTAATTCTAGTCCTAAAATATTAGCTTGTAGTTATCTTTTGATGACTATGACAAATAATGTTCCATATACAATGAAAATGATGATCACTGTCGTCCTCTCACACAGGTTGCACGTACAATCACAAATATGCAGCAGCAGATCCAGCAGCACCAGCGTCAGCTGGCCCAGGCCCTGCTTATGAAACAGCAGCAGCCTCCACTTTCCTCTCACACTGGCCTGCACCCAAATCTTAGCAAGGCAAGCCTGGATACTTTCACGGGTCATCCTCAGACTTCAGGCCTCTCCGTTTCAGACCTGCAGACCAAAGAGCAGCAGTCTTCTCCAAACTCCTTCAGCCCTTATACACTCTGTAAGAGAACAAGCCTCATGTGGACACACTCCTGCATGTGTATGCTTACTGTGTGTGTGTGTGTGTGTGTGTGTGTGTGTGTTTGTGTGTGTGTGTGTGTTTGTGTGCGCACTTGTCACTTTATATTACAATGTCCATGTTATGCATGTTCCATGTACTTACTGTAGTAATACCAGTAAATTATGCAGAATTACAAACAACTAACACTAATACAAATCCTAACCTTATAGTAAGTCCATGTTTTTAATTGATATTACTCAGTAATTGTTTGTATAATTACACAGTGTCAAGCAAATCTTAAAACAAAGTGTAAATTTTATATAGTAGCTGATAGTTGCACTGAGTTCTGTATCGTTTGTAATAATAGTAGGACTGTCATTTTAAAACATTGCTTTAGTTTCATTAAAAAAACATAAAAACTATGCAATAAAAAGTTTAATGAAATGTATTTTGTCACTTAAATGTACTGTACTTAAATTCTTCTTTTTGTTTGCCATAACAATGTAATGCCTTTCAATTATCTTCATTTGGGGCTTCATTGGGGGTTTTCGCCGCAAATATTGTTATAAGTGAATAATGTATTAGAATATTGTGTAGTAAATTTGATTCTTTTTTGATTCATTGATTGCCAAGCTATAGTTTTTTAGTTATTTTGATCTTGACATTTTTTCCCCTTGTGTTTGTGTGTGAATGTGCATTAATTTCCTTGTCTCTTTGTCTCCCCCCTGTAGCTGGTTTGAACCCGAACACGAATGTAAACTGTATGGAGGTGGGAAGTCTATCTCTCAAAGACCCCCCTCAGCCTCAATCCCGGCTCTCGCAGTGGACTCATTCAAACTCCATAGATTCCCTGTCAGCTAGCGCTCAGCACATGGAGGCAAACCTCAACAAGCACGGTATTAATTTATTCATTGCTCCAGACATATTATGGGCTTGATTTTGCGCTGTGACATACATAAGTTTATCTAATCGAATCTATAATGTCAAGACAATCATATGATAGATTCTAGGTCTAACATCCTTTAAAAGACTTCTGCTTCCACAAACAACATTCCACTCATTGAAAACACAGCAATATTTTTAATCAAACATCAAACTCCAGACACTGAGTCACAAATTCTGTCCCTGAGATTTGTGTATTTCAAAAGGACAGACAAAACTCCCTTTCAAGTTAAGTGCTTGCTGACATTCCAGAGTTATTTTTGTCAGCAGGGCCTTTTAAAATATTATCCTTCCTTGGCATTTGTTCTCAGTAAACCTTGCCTGAACAGTACGTCCAGCCAAGCCGCTGCAGTTTACTGGAGTGAGTTCAGCTGAGGACAAAAGCTCAAGCCTGTAATCTTGAATTTTATTATTCAGATTGTGGGTTGCTTAGTCTCTAAATATTTTATTATATGATGTTTTGAGTAAAACCTCCTGTGAATAGACAGATTAAAGAGACTGTTCTTTGGTTTCAGGTTCAATTTCTTCTGCTCAGTCCCATGTTCCTGTCGGAAAGAGCACCATGGAAGATTCCTTCAGCCCATACAATCTGATGTCAAGCTCTGAATCCCCCACCAGCACCTTGATGTCTCCAGAGAGCTGGACACAAGGCAAAAGTCCCAATGAGAAAATGTCTAGTAACTCCAATATCAACTGGCCTCCTGGTAAGCTTCAGTGGCATATTATCCACACTGATCACGGTAAAATATATATATATATTTTTTTTTTATTATGTGTATGAGATGGCACAGTAATTAACCAGAAATAATTAAAGATGGAACTTCATGACCAAAAGGTTGCCGACCCCTGTTACATACTTTGAGTCTTGATGCTGGACAACCAATTATGTTCTTGCTTTATCTCAGAATTCTGCCCTGGGGTGCCATGGAAAGGTCTGCAGAACATTGACCCTGAGAATGACCCAAACATGACCCCAGGAAGTGTTCCAAGTGGCCCCACCATTAACACTAACATACAGGATGTGAATCGCTACCTGTTACGTGACAGGACTGGAGGTATGAATGATTGATGGCATATGAAATAAGTTTTAACAGACCAACAGAGCTTGTTACTTAAAATTTCTGAAATATTTACTGCTAAATGAACATTGCCTGTCAACTTTAAAGCTATAACAGAAATCACTATTTTAAGGATCATTACACAATAAATGTATTTCACTGTTTCGTCATGCCCCTTTTGCTATCCACTTGGGACAAATGGCCACAATAGCCTCGTCCCCATCTCAGAATGGGACTATGTCTTCCTCGAGTGAGTGGTCAGTCAGTGCCTGTAACTCGTTCGGTCTGTCCTCTCAGAACGAGAGGGACGCTAACAGTCCAGGTAGAGCCCTAAATCCTAAACAGCCCTGCCCCACACTAGACCTAATTACCCTTATTTATCCTTACACCTGGACAGGCCCTCACCAAGTCTGTGTTCTCCTAAAACCCACATTCACCCTTGTTCTGTTATACTTTTTGCTGTTTTAAATGTTGATCCTTGTCAGAATCAATAAACTCATTTTAAGTCTATGTATGTATCTATGTATGTATGTATGTATATGAATATATATATATATATATAGTGAATATTTTAATGTTTAAAACACCTGCTGAGGGAGGTTGCAGTAGGTTATACGAGCAGACATTTATAATTTTATTATAATAAAAGTTTACAATATTCTAAAAAATGTTGGTCACATATGGAAAGCTGAACACATAATTCCTTATAACATTTTGTTAAATCAAAGTCTTAATCACACAGTTTCCCTGATTTTCCGTTTCGGTAATACTGTCAAGGTTTTTAGTGATAACTATTAAAAAGTATAGGATAAGTAATATTTTTTAAGGCTCACCTAGTCTGCTTTTATTTATGTATAATACACTAAAACGGTAATATTGAGAAATAGTACTACAAACTGTTTTCTGTTTTAATATTTTAAATAAAATATTTAAAATCTTATTTATTCATGTGATGGCAAAGCTGAATTTTCAGCAGTCATTATTCCAGTCTTCAGTGTCCCATCATTCTAATATGCTGTTTTGGTGCTCAGTAAATAATTCTTAGTAATAAAATAATAGCTGTGCTGCTTAATATATTTGTGGAAACTGTGATTAAATTTTTTTTAGCATTCTTTGATGAATAGAAATTTAAAAAGAACAGCATTTATTTGAAATAAATAGCCATTGGAATGGACTTGCTCTACCCCATTGTGGCTGTTTGCATAATCCCAACCAGAACTAATTTCTGTTTTAACCAATCCTTAGAGGCAATGATGGGTGGTGACTGTACCTACTGCTGTTATTCATTTGTCCCTCTCTTTCCTCCTCTCCTCCCTTTCTTCAGGTAAACTCTTGGAAATGAAGTCTACCTGGTCCCCTGGACCCATCTCCCACACACAGGCCTCTTTATCTCATGAGTTATGGAAGGTTTCCACAGGGACACGTAACTCCAGTGCTCCCTCACGCCCCCCTCCAGGCCTGACCAACACCAAGCCCTCCTCCACCTGGGGAGGAAACTCTCTTGGCCTCAGCCAGGGCTGGACCAGCTCTTACTCCTCAGGTAAATCCTCAGTACACCTGTGTGGTACAAAGCAGCAAAACCAGCTACTCACGAGATTCTGCTGTAGTGTGGCCGACCAGTCAGACTTCCCTCTGTCTGTCTCAAGTTGTGTTTAGAGTTGCAAATGGGCAGAAGTCAAGAATTTAGTGGAAAATATGCTCAGCTGCAACGTTTTTCCAAACCTGTCTCTCGTTATTTTTTGTTATAGAAGGGGGAACTTGGAGCACTGACAGTCCCAACAGAGGAAGCAGCTGGCTGGTACTGAGAAACCTCACTCCTCAGGTGCATAGAGCAAACAATTTATATTACTGTGAAAACTAGTATGATTTATTCAGATTCATATCGCATGAGAGTACAGAAATGTACAGGTATGTCACTTTTTATGTAACAAAGGTGTTGAGTTTTTTATGTAGCATTTTGCACTATACTTTTTTAGTTGCACTCTGCTGATTTTAAATTTTTTTCAATATAAAGGTTTTTTAAAACATCTTCTATAAAAACTTTTTTTTTTTTACTGCTGCAATATGTCTCGCTGTTTTTCCAACATCTCACACATGAGTTCAAAAAGAAGTTTTGACATACAGCGAACCTCATGAATATCAATTTCAAAACACTGGGCCAATCAGAAGAAGCCATAGGCAGGCTTATTCTGAGTATGTTTACAGTAGCATCTATGCATCTTTTTCAGCATTAAAATAGGAGGTAGGTAGTTATACACACTTAAAAATCAAGTTCCTACACTTCAAAATCAGTCCAGTCATAGGATATCAAAGATATTTTTTTGAGCTGATTTTAGAACACGTTGTTTTTATTTGTCATTCACCTCCTAGCAACGAGACAGATTTCTTTGTGTTCAATGTGTGTGTGTAAAGTCTGGTAGTGTGTGATCCTGCATGATGCCTAGTTTTTCTTCTTTAACCATTTACACTCTTGGCAAGCCTTTTATGCCTATAGTGTTTAAAATCTGTTCAGATTTTGAAAGTAGTGCAGTGTTTTCCAGCTTTTATGTTTGTTTTTGCTATAACATAACCTCGTTAAAAAGTGCATTTCAAAACCCTTGCGTTCTGTGCAGCTTCTTTTTACTGTTCCGTCCCTGTTATTAATGCAAGAACGCATTCTCTCTGAACTGCCCCTTAGCACTTGAATGTGAATAACAATTTATTTAAAAATGTATCTATTTGTGTGCATCAGATTGACGGCTCCACCCTGCGTACTCTGTGCATGCAGCACGGCCCTCTCATTACCTTCCATCTGAACCTGACGCAGGGCAATGCTGTTGTACGTTACAGCTCCAAGGAGGAGGCTGCCAAAGCCCAAAAATCCCTGCACATGTAAGACTACAAGCTCTTCTACTTCAAACTTCTCTGAGGCCTTGTCCCAAATGGCACCCTAAACCCCCACGGTCTTCCTCTGAGTCCACACTTTTGTGACGTGATGCCTCTTTGACTGTCGGGTAGAAGTCTGCTACAGAGCCCTACGGCCTCACGGACTTTACAGTCGTGTGCACACGACCGCCATTGTATGTCCACAAGACTGCAAGTGCACATGAAATGTGCCATTTGGGACAAAGCCTAAGAGGATCTTCGAGAATAGCTTTTATTTACGATTTATAGTGTTAGCTGTATGTTGTTTCTTCATTTTTTTCTCTAAATTCAAGTCCTATAGATAAATGTGCAACTTTCTCTCTTCAAGCTGATTTTATGTGTTATCCATCAAGAAAACTTTTTAATACTTGAATCCCTTCCAACTGTTTGTCTGCCTCTCAAGGTGTGTGCTGGGTAACACTACCATCCTGGCAGAGTTTGCCGGTGAGGACGATGTGAACCGCTTCTTTGCACAGGGCCAGTCCCTTACCCCCACCACCAGCTGGCAGGCCAGCCCAGCACCAGGCTCCAATCAACCCCGGCTGGGCAACCCTGCTGCCAGCCACCCCACAGGCCTCTGGAGCGGGGGTGGAGGAGGTACCAAGACAGTCTGCAGTACCGGGAACAGCAGCAGCGGAAACAGAGGCGACCTGCTGTGGGGAGGTGTGCCGCAGTACTCCAGATTGTGGGCTCCCCCAAATGGAGACGACACCAGGGTAATCGGCAGCCCCATCCCAATTAACACTCTGCTCCCGGGAGACCTGCTGAGCGGAGAGAGCATGTAGGATGTATCGGACATCATAAACCAACCAAGTCAAAAGACCTAATGGATCAAAACCCATGCAAATCAATGTGGCGATAATCACTTTTTGTGGAGCTGTAATGGAGGTTTAGGGTGAAACAAAGCTGCAAACCTCCCAGTGCTGTTTATTTGTCCTCTGGTTTTTACGTCAGACTCTTTGTTGTGTTCGTGGATCTTGTTCTTAGTGTTCAAAGACCTTGAGAAGCAAGAATCAGTAGAAGCAGAAGCCTTTTAATGCTTTTTTTTTTATTTCCAAAGGTTGTTTTTTTTTCTCAGAGGTGTTGTTCAGGAGAAGCCATCAACGAGGCAGCCATCTGAAAGTGACCCAGGCACAGTGAGACCTCATGACACTTTTCCCTATAACGACACTGTTCTGATGATTGGAATGATCCTGGTACTTTTTTTGGTATTAAATTTTGTATAGTTTCTTCAGAACTTATATTAGCCGTAAGTGCTCTCTCTCCAGGTCCTCCTTAAAACGTTTATTTTATAAAACCAACAAAAAAACTTAACAAAAAAAAAAAAACTTTGTATCTTGCACAGTTCTGTTTCTGAGCCAGCGAATAGGCCAGAGCAAATGAGAAGAACACTCCTAGCAGTGGCCTGACAGCATGACTAATCACCAATGAACTTTTATTTTTAATTCTTTTAGTTTTACAAAAGGGAGCTGCACTGCTCTATGATTTCTATTTACTCACGCCAGTTTGTTTTTACAAAAATATGTGTATGGTTTAAAAAAA